TATAGACCTCTATCATATCCCCCCTCAGTCTCCTCTTTTCTAAGCTGAAAAGTCCCAGTCACTTTAGCCTCTCTTCATATGGGACCTGTTCCAAACCCCTGATCATTTTAGTTGCCCTCCCCTCTCCCACTCTCTCTTTTCCCCTCTCCCACCTCCTTTTCCCAGTCTCCCCGAGTTTTGTTTAATAAAGAGAGTTTCTATTTTTGAACACACGTGTCCTTTATTTTGTATATCAGGAAGGGGGGTAGGGACGGGTAAGTGGAAGGAGGTGAGGGAGGAATGGGGTACGAGCCCCCGATGGGGAGGACTGGGGTGGCTCTGCGGGCTCCTTGGGATGGAAGCTCTCCTGCAGCCCCCCAATTAACCCCCCCCACGGATGGCAGCCTGCAGCAAGTGCAGCCGGGCTGATGGCCAAGTGCCGTGATGTGCCCAATGTGGGCACTCATGGCACTCCAAGCCAGGACTGCTTTGCAAGCGGGGCACCCCTGAGAACTGTCTGTCCGGGGTGGGGGTCGGGTCCCTTTAAGCACAGCCCTCGGCTAGCCTGAGACAGAAGCTCCACACTCTAACGGTACGTCTAGACTACAGCTGTTTGTCGGCTCAGCGCGGCAGCCATGTAAATTTAAATGAAGCGGCGATTATTTAAATCTCCGCTTCATTTTACTATGTCCGGTACCCTAATCTACATGCCTCTGTCGCCAGAGGCATGTAGTCTAGACGTACCCTAAGTCCTAAGCTGATGCCCTGCCGGCACTGCTTCCAGCCATCCTTAACCTCGGTTCAGGGTCACTCAATGTGGACATGCTAGTTCGAATTAGCAAAACGCTAATTCAAACTAGTTTTTAGTTCTAGATGCACTAGTTCTAATTAGCTTAGTTCGAATTAACTAATTCGAATTAAGTTAGTTCGAATTAGTGCTGTAGTGTAGACATACTCTAAGGTATCACCCATAATCCTGCCCTTTCTGCTTCAATAAAATGCACTTTAAAGCCCTACATATGTGGCCATTCATTCCACTTGTCACCTCAATTGTTGGAAAGCAGTACCAATGGCTAACTTATGCATGGTGGGGAAAAGAGGGTGATTACACACTTTTCCCTCAGCTTAAATAGAGACCATGGATTAGATACTCAGCTCTGCTCAGCTTAGGTGGGGTTGGGAAACATGGGGTAAGAGGTGGGACAAAGCTTCCCTTAAGCCTCCTTGGCACTTGTTGGAGTCCTGGTTTATCCTCATCTTAATTTAGAGCAGCCTTAATTTTAAGTTCTGACAGCCACATTCCCTCCCACAACCCCTCAGGTGACTAGGTTTCTGCTCCTCAAGAGAGAGAGAGAAAAATCTTTCCAACCCATTTTGGTTGCTCCAATCTGTCCAGACACATTTGAAAGCTTTTAGGGTTGCTCGCCCCACTACCTTGCAAAATTCAGTAAAGCTCAAGGTCATTTGAGCAATTTACTAAGGTGAGGAAAGAAACAAGTACAGAAAGTAACTGTTGTAGCAAAGACTTTCCTGGCACTGAAAAATCCCTTTCACCGAGTATGATTATTTGCCTGCCTAGATGATTTGCTGGTGCACCTGAAGAGAACGTTGCAAGATGGATTTACTCTCTAATAAATTATTCTTTAGAATCAAATTCCGGAGACAGTCCTATAAATAAATACACTTGATATTTCTCTAACTCGTGATGTGCTGGAGGCCGTTATGGCTAGTTCATGGCGTATCAGTATTATTAGCTTTTCCCTCCGCATGCATGCTTTTGCATTTAGAGTGATTGCTCTAGTGCAGTGAGATGCTGTGTGAGAGAGTCCAAGGGCAGGAGTGAAATGAGTTCAGCAGCCTCAGTCTTATTCCCAGCTGACACCTGCCTGCACCTCAAAACCACCAAATACACAGGCACAATTCAACCTGACAGTCACTTCTTCTTCAAGATTCTGGGCTGGAATGACCAGCAAATATGCAGGTCACCATTGAAATGAATTGTTCATGGCAAGCCCAGGAATGGAACAGTGGGGTTAGGATTGAAATGCATTGGCTGAGCTGTGCTAGGAGCCCAACACTAGAAGAGCAAAGTTGCTTTAGGTCAGGGGTGGAGAACCTCAGGCCTGCGGGTTGCCTGCGGGTTGCATGCAGTGGCTGGATCCAGCCCCTGAGGCTCAGGGCTCCCTCCCCTCAGCTTTGGGGAGCCTGCACTAGCGCTCCAGCCCTCTCCACCATCACGTCCCCTGCCACCCCACCATGGGGCTGGAGCACATAAAATCTACTAGCCTGCCCCCCCCCCCTCCCGCCCAAGCTCTGGTGTGGGAGGAGAATGTGGGGAGTGTCTTTCTTCTCCTCAGTCAGGGTGGGTTTTGGTTTGTTTTGGTTTTTTTGCTTCTCACTTGTGTGCAGCCCTAACTGATTTTTCTGTGGGTCAGTGTCTCCTGATCCAAAAAAGGTTCCCTGCCCCTGCTTTAGGTAAAGGCTGAAGTGCACTAGCAAAGCCACTTTTTATGGACATTGGCATCATGTATAAAATAGCAGGGACATCCTAGTTCAGGTACAAGGTGCATTGGTAAGTGTAGGGGGTAGATCCTAGGCCGGGTCAAGATCATGGGGCATTGGCAGAGCTGCCTCAGGTTTCCAAGACTGGAAAACGAGGGTTGTTCCCAGGCCGTACTGAGGGCAATGAGCTGCCAAAATTGTGAAACATTTAAAATATCACAAAGCCTATGTCTACCCTGGCAGCTTCTTGTGCAAGAACAGCCGTTCTTGTGCAAAAACTTGCCTGCTGTCTACACTTGCGCAAGTAAATTTACAGTATAGCGTTGTAAAACAGAGCTTCTTCCGAAAGAGTTATTCCTCTCCCCATGAGGAATAAACCCTCTTGTGCAAGAGCTCTTCTACAAGAGGGCAGTGTAAATAGGCAACATGAATTTCTTGTGCAAGAAGTCCCTATGGTTAAAATGGCCATCACAGCTTTCTTGCGCAAGAGAGAATCCACACTGCCATGGATGCTCTTGCGCAAAAGCACATACCAGTGTAGACACGCACTTGAGGAAAGACAAAAGCACATACCAGTGTAGACACGCACTTGTGCAAGAAATTTTTTGTGCAAGAAATTTTCCGCAAAACAGTTCTTGAGCAAGAAGCTGCCAGTGTAGACGTAGCCAAGGAGTATGTTTAAAAAGGAAAGGATTAACCAGGAAATTCCACGGATGACTTTTGGAATGAGGTAAAATATGGGGACTCGGCAGAGGAATCAGTAATGTGAGAAGACAAACTTTAGGTCTGGCACTTCAGGCGGTGCATGAACTGGGAAATATTAGAACTCGCCTCACATCTAGAGCCCAAGCTGTCCATGTGAATCTAGCAAAAATAAAAAAAGAGCGAAGTCCTCTCATTCTACCAGGAATTCCAGTTTGTCCATTAGACTGCTGTCTGTCAAGCATAAAGGCACTGAATCACTTCCACTTCACATACACCCAAGGGCTGCTGCATGCAAGCTGCCTCTTTACAGTGACTGGGAACAGGAGGAAGGGGAAGTATCTGGATAAGGTGGCTCTCAAAATTATTTTTCCCAGCTGATAATTTCAACTATAAGCAGCCAAGTATAAAAAGTCTTCTCAGTTCATCAACTCTGACTCTCTGTGAACTGTGCAGGATATTTCCCCACAGTAAGGCTCCCTAATGTCTTATCTAATTTCTTCTTGACTGCCCCCAGTAACGATGCTCTGGCACCTCCATATTGCTTCTTCCAAGACATTAATAATTATTTCCTGAATGAGAGAATTTTCTCCAACTGAAAGTTCTTTTTTATCCCTTACTTCTGCACGACATGAGGTCTCCTGATCAATGTACGTTGTCTCTGGTGCAGCAACTAAAATGAGCACACTCTAGATTTGAAACTGAGACTGGTGTCATTCTGCTGGGCTCAACCCCTGTCCTTTTAAGTATCCCCTTCTGAATAAAAACAGAGCACAGGTGGACTATCAAAAGCATGGGGCGTCTGGGGAAAAAGAGGAGGAGGGGAGCTAGGCTCTTTTCTTATCCCTGCTGTCTATCTGAAATAATTGTTGTGAAATATTCCACAGTGGAATGTGCAGCTATTGTACAGCCTGTGCAGAACACTAAATAGAAATTAATGATTAATTTTAATAAATTGCAGCTGTAATGGGGGTTATGGCCTTTCCAATTAAGCCCCATCAAAGCATGCCTGATCTGCCCTCACAATACCATCCAAAGAAAACCCACAGTCCCTTCTGTTAATTGGCATGAAAGGACCTTTTCAGTCCAAACACCACTTACTTGCCAAGAAAGCACTTCGGGACAGTGCTTAATTTTCTCCTCCTGTCTTTGATAAGGTTCACTTTCTTGTTCATCATCATGTGATACAGCTTCTCTCCTTTCTCCGCAATCATGACGTACGCATCCCTCTCCATTCCCAGTTTCAGACCTGGAATACAAAGCAGGGGTTGCTCCAGACCCTTGCCACCAAAGTGTTCCCTCGGACCCAAAAGTTGAGGCTAACCACATACACAGAGCACCTGCTGCCCATCACACGAGACGATAAGAGTTTATGGGAGAGTCTCATTTGACAAAAATGGGCCCCTTCACAATCTGGATACAAAATGGATGGGCGGTTCAGTGCGCAGGTGAAGTTTGCAGCCTTTCTTCTCTGATTCCCATGGAGAGCACCAGCTCAGAAACAAAGGGCACCAAACACGAGGTCCCAACACATCACACAGAGTGGAATGTTCCCAGGAACATGCACTGAGAACACACACCAGTTGGAACAAGCAAACAAACAAACAAACAAACGCATCACTCCAAATTCATTCTTGGTGCAGCTGTAACTCTCACAAGGCTTTGTTCAAGGTGACAAATCTTGTCAGAACAGATGATTTTGAGAGACTTCCATTAGTTGGAGCCAAAATTCTGTTGACTCTAACTCCAGAAATGACTTAAACCCAGTCTAGACAGGAATGCTGATTCCTCGTCTTGTCCCCAGTAAACAAGCTGTTTACAAATGCCCTTGTGCTTCAGGACACCCCTTAACTCCATATCAAACAGTCAGCCAGAGAGATACTGGATGACTTAGAAAAACTTAAAAAACAACGAATAGTCTTGCATCACCTTAAAGGCTAACAAAGACTACCCCTCTGAAGCTGGATGACTTAGGTGAGTAGTGATGGAATATATGAAGGCTGTCACCTCCTAGCTATTGGTTCACTTATGACCCAGTTTAATTGTGACTGAGAGTTGCAACAATCAGATGGTTGGTTTGAAATGATTCCAGCGCCTAGTGAACATGCATCCACATCACAGCTTGCCTTTCTTATCTTATGGAAGACCGCGGAAACTGTCTTAATGAATGCCCCTGGTATTGAGGCTTAAAGCACTTGCACGGGACAAAGCATGGAGGGTATTTGCAACTCCTGTTGTCTGCACTGTACCTGTCTGGCAATGAACAGGGTACTTCATTTTCCAGGGTTTTTTGGCAACTTTCACCAACTATGCCTTTACTTTACAGACGAAAGCAGCAGCCTCAAAGGCTAGTTAGAGAGGATGCATCATTATCTCTAAAGGATGCTCAGTTTACCCCTTCCAGCCTTATGTTATGCTTGAAGAACTAACAAACAAAAATTAACAGTCATGGCCATCAATTACCACACTGTCTTCAAGTTTCTTTCAAATAGCTATTGCATTTGTTTCACAGACTTGGTTCATGTGCTTAAGCAGTGAGAGTCATATGCAGTATTTCATCCTGCACAGATAGCATTTGTTTCATGTATACAACATCTGCCTAAAAGTTTTGGTTTTGAAGACCTCCTGACTCAATACCGCCTCCCCCTTCCCATGATTCAAATATGCATGCTGTCATGTGTAGGCAAAGCTAATTTGCAGTGTGAACTTGTGATAGAAAACAGCCGGTGTAATAGTACACGTTTCATTCTGGTCTGACATCACTGAATTCCCCAGGCTCTGATGTAAACAGCAGACTGGAATGCACACACTACACAGCTTACTCCGGGATCGCACAGAATTGGGAAGCTCACCAAAGTTTCTAATCCAAACACTGATAGCTCTGTGACCCTGCAAGTATCCTGAGTCAAATGAAGCTTTCCAATAAGGTCTGGAATGTCTGTTACGATTGCCGTGTTTATCCGGCGTTCCTGTCATCAGCTGCCACATCATAAACCAGCATGATGAAAAGCAGCAGAAAAAAGTCACAGAGTCACACAAAAACGCAGAGAAATTTCCATTAACAAAGAATTCTACTTCCTAATCTGCGATTGTCTGTATTTTTTTCCTAAGGATTTTGTTATGTATCTGATGTTGCTGTAGTTAAAGAGTTCAGCTACTCCAATGAATGGTTCCTCACCTGAGTCAGGATTCTCTGTTGGGAAGGAATAATAATAATGCTTGATATTTTTCTTTCCACCTGAGGATCGACAAGCATTCTACAAATACTACATTCCACGTGATGACCCCCAAAGTAGAAAAGTATTGGAGTCTGTGTGTAAGCAGAATGGGTTTTTAATTTTTTTTCTATGAGAAAGCTGTTTCAGAGAGATTTGGAAACAAAGCGTACTTGCATGCTTTTTCTATTGTAGATTTATAAAAATTTACCTATAAAACTATGTAGCATATTATAATATGGCTTTTTATATAATCCATGTGTGCATCTATGCATGTGGGTGAAAACAGCTCAGCTCTACAGACATCCCACATGTATCAGCAAAGAGCCTGTATCATTAGGATACTCTAATTTTTAACAGTAGTTCTGCTTTGTCCCCAGTTGTCTCTCCTGTGCCCAAGCATTTATTTAATAATGGTTCTGTCTGTCTCGCCCTGTCTCTTTTGTTTCTTATTAAACCTTTCCCCTCTTTTTTATTGTACTGTACTGCACTGTACATCATTTTATTATGCAGTACTGTGTTAAAATAATTAGGGTAAGGCTTTTCAATGCAGCCTAAGGGATTAAGGCACGTAAATCCAATTAAATTTCAATGGGGTTTGGGTGCCTGTTTGACTTAACATCCTTTGAAATTCGTAGTGAAAATGAGTATCACTTAACATTTATAGGGCTAAGTACAAAACGGGTCTCAGGTTGATCTCAGTTAGTGCCTGGAAGAATTAGGTGGTTATAGCTGTAAATGAGGCCAACTGCATCCATAAAACTGTGCCTGTAGAATGGGAGGACACTTCTAAAGGTCAGGCTTCTAATCTTCAAAGTGCTTTATAAATGTTAACTGGCAACCCCTCTGCCAATGAGTTATTATTCCCATTCTGAAGACAGGGAAACAGGCTAAGAATTCAAATGAGGCTACAGAGGGAGTTGGTGTCAAAATCTTTTCACTCAAGGATTCCTGGCTCTAAGTCCGGTGTTTAGGCTCCATAGACTTTACCTTTCCCTCAGGCTGTGTCTAGATTGCAAAGAAAAGTCAGAAAAAGATATGCAAATTGCGAACCACTATTTGCATATCTTTTTCCGCTTTTCTTTCAGAAGAGGCTTTTCCGAAATTTGGCCCATCTACACAGGGACAAATTTCAGAAAAACCTCCTCTTTCGGAACATCCTTTCTTCCTCATACAATGAGGAATACAGGATGCCGAAAGAATACGTCCACTTTTTCGGAAATTGTTCCGAAAAAGCGGATGTGTTCCTTGGACATGGCATAGATTTTCTGGGATACCTCTGGTATGCCAGAAAAGCTCTGCAATGTAGACATAGCCTCACAGAACACTTCCACAGACAAACATCAGCACAGATTTGTCAGTATTCCTAGGCTAAAAAGCCCAAACATTCCCAAAGATGTTCTCCCTGGATTGTTTTATTTGACTGCACAGACCAAAAACATTTAGGATGACTCCTTGTGAGGATGAGTCTGTAGCACTGCCTGGCAAAAGGCTGTGGTTTTTTCCCCCCTTACAGATTGTTTACAAATAAAATACTTAAAAATCAATTAAGTAAAGACAATATTTTGAAGTGCTTCAATGCATGAAAGAAACTGACAATTTGATTCCTGTAAATACAATGAAGCAGGAGCATTAAAATGCCCATGGGTAAATTAAGAAGTAGATGCTTCTAGTCACTTGATTTTCTTGTCATTAAATTTGGCAATTAAAAACAACTTGTGATGGTGTGCCATCACAGAAGACCCCTTGGGATTGTTCCCTGGTGGCTGATCATACCACTGACACCTGCCTTCTTGCTCTCTGGGCCTCCCCACCAGCCTGTCCTCATGGGCCAGATTCTCTGGTCTCTTCCAGATAAGGCACAGAGTTGGGGTTACTGCCCCCCTGAAGAGCAATTGCAGACTCTGCACCACTTCAGCTCTGGGAGGACACAGTTGCAGGGCACATCACCCAGGAATCCAAGCTTCCAAAGGGATCCATTTCCCAAATAAATCCATCTTTCTTTGTCTAAAAGTTTTACCCAGGAAAAGCTCATGAGGCTGTTTCTTTATCAAAGAGAGAGAGAGATGCACACTGATTGCCCCCCCCAACAATTATTTACACTGGGCCTGATAGTAAACAAAAGTGTTTTTATTTTATTAAGTACAAACAGTGGGATTTAAGTGGTTGCAAGTGAAAACAGACAGATCAACGTAAGTTACTAAAAAAGAAAAAGAAAACGCATAGCTAGTTCTGAGTCACTAAAAAAACTTCTTGTAAGCAGAATCTTATCCTGAAGAGCTATTCCTGTTTCAAGTCTTCACATCAGAGACAAACTATTTTACTTTCACTTGGGTCTCCAGCCCATTTTAGAGTTTTCTTTATATCCTAGGCCAGCTGAAAACACTTGATAACTTTCCCTTGCTTAAACAGACTTTTTGTTGGGGTGGGAATCTTTTGTTCTCCATTCCCCCTACCATGGAAAATGTCCTGGTTCAAAATGGAATCCCAGTACCAGGTGATACGGTCACAAGTCTTACTAGGCCAATTACCTTTGGAATTACAGACAAAGAAGGCTGTTTACAAGTCATTAAGTTGATCACTTAATGATTTTTTTTTGGGGGGGGGAGGGGAGATCAGTCATGGCTCTCATTAGCACATTTAAAACTATAAACAGTCTCATACTTCATATTTATAACTTTACATACAAGAAAGATACATGTACCAAAATATGATATACAGATCCAGCAGATTTTAACATTAAAATTGATAGGTTACATGAGGTATATTGTCCAAAGCATATTTAAGTCATGTGTATTAATATTTATAAACATTGATAGTCAACCAAACATGTATGCAAGCACCCATGTACACATGCATGCGCACACATGCACACATTCACGTACAGTATGTCTACTATGTGAGTCACTCAGTGCTCTTAGAAGATATACTATCCACTTACTCTCTCTCTGTTCCCTTTCCCTGATTATAGCATCCAGCCATTTCTGTTTGTCCTCCGCAGTCTTGGCCATGCAGACAAACCATTTGTTTTTGGCAGTATTGTGTATCTTCCAGCCATTAGTCACCGTGTAGCCATGGCTGTGATAATCTGCTGCAAAAACACAAAGCACAGACCAGAAAGTGAATGAAAGGCATGGCCCTTTAATGAAAACAAATTAATCCATTGGCCATAATTTCCATATTTAAAATTCTCCGAATTTCACAGATGCTGGCACTTGCAGCTCTTACTGAAGTCCACAGAAGCTAAAGGTGCTTAGCTCCTCTGAAAGTCTAATGGAGGGGTGGGGAACCTAAGGTAGATGTGGCCCCCAAAGCTGCGAGTAGCCCCTGATTTTTCTGTGTGTCCCAATCCAAAAGAAGTTCTCTACTCCTGGTCTAATACTTATGTAGGTTCCTTTCTTTAGTGCACCAAGTTTGGAAACCGTGACAGCCCCTGCCCAGAAATTCCATGCCTGAGCAGCAGTTCCTTGGTCAGCAAGAGTTTGGGCAAGTCTCATTCCAGAAGCCATGTCAATAGAGGAAGTCTGCAGGAGGCTCACCAACGGTTTGAATTCCAGTGAAATTATACTGATATATAGCTATTCTGTACTGGACAATGCCTTTGTGCAAATCCTGTAAACGTGGAGCTCTAGAAACTGAAATTTCTCCTTACCCCTTCAAAAGTAACACATGGCAGTGAACATCTGGAAATGACACACACTCCCTCACACATGGGCACACCATGTTTTCCCAAGAGTTCTCCTCTAGATCAAACAGGGATTCATTCAAGGCACTCCTTATGGCCTGTGTTATGGGGGGGAAGGAGGTGACTACCTGATCACAGTGCTCCCTTCTGGCCTTGGAAGCTATGAATCTATGAACAACCCCCCCTGGTTTCTCTGCTACAAGCAGGCCTGCAGCAGCCTCTTCTAACGTGAATCCCTTTCAGCCTCCATTCTCCATACCCTCAGCCCCAAAGGGGATCCAATTAGTGACACGTTATAATTGGGCCTCATCATACGAGAAGCTTTCAAATGAAAACCCTTGAAAGAAAATATCTAGATCTAAAATATGGCATGAAAAAGAATATGCTCTTTGGCAAGAGTCTTCATTCTGCACCTCATAGGAATCCACTACTAGCTCCTTCACAGCTTATATTGGAAGCTTTTTGGACAATGTCAGCCCACAAGGACAGTCACATCTGATCACATTTCATTCATGGCAACAAATCCTTTATAAGTGTCTTGATTCCCAAATGACAAAGGAATATAATATTATGTGCTGCTCACCTATGGCCTGAGCCAAAGCCCCTAGGAAGAACCCAACCTGTAATCCAATACAGTAGTTTTGTATTTTGTGGTTTACTAAGAGAGGATATGGACATGTCTGTTCTTAGAAGGAGAAAATAGTTCTTACCTGTTCCATCTTCAACGTTCTCCACTTCCATGACCTCTGTGTTTATTCGGCCCCTGAAGATATAGAGGGATCCGTTGATTGACTTGGTACGTTTAGATGCCTTTTTCCCAGCAACTCTGCAAATAGGAACCAGAAATGCAATTAATAGCTCTGCTTTATCTTTTCCCACAGTAGGGGTGGGCAATAATTTTTGAAGGGGGGTTACTTCACACATTTCTGAAGTGGTTACAGGCTGCCCCAGATGGAACGGGGCTTCAGGCAGAAGAGGCAGGGCCAAGTGGCTTCCCCGCCCACAGACCCTGATTGGCCTGAGGGCAGGGAGAGCGTGTGAAGTCTTTGCCCCCCAGCACCTAGAAAGAACCGCCAGCTGTTAAACATAAATAATGTTGCGATAAAAAGAGCTAATCAGTGAATTTTTGTTGAAATGAAAAACAGGTGTCACAGGTGGAGTAGAGAATCAGCAAAGCTTTTGTGAACAATATCTTTCATTTTCCAACTAGAACTAGTGCTAAACACAATTTGGTGATGACCAGATATTTACATGCCATCAGATTGCTACGGGCTGAAATCTTGGAGTCCTTAGATCATTTCCTCAAGGGCACTGAGTTGATTCAAAAAGAGAAGCTCTCCAGACAGCCCTGATGAAGACCTTTGGAGAGACAGCCCATTTCCCCAAAGGAAGCATATTGTTCCTGACATCAGGATGCAGTCTGAACAGCTGCTTCTAACGTAACCAAACAATACTCAGCCCTGAAAACCTGTGTCATCCATTTGTCAGACTTTGCTAGACCCCTGTAAAGCAGGAGTGGGGAATCTTTTTTGGGTCAGGGGCTACTGACCCACAGAAAAATTAATTGGGAGCCACACACAAGTGAGAAGCAAATAACAAAAAAAAAAAAAAAAAAAAGCCCACACTGACATGGCCCCAGTGAGGAGAAAGATACTCCCAACATTCCCCTTGTACACCAGAGCCTAAGAGGGCCCAGCCTAATAGATTTTGTGTGCTCCAGACCCGCAGTGGGGCAGCAAGATGGCTGAAGCATCAGTGCAAGAGCCTCAATGCTGGGGGCGGGGAGAAGCTGAGCCTCGAGGGCCAGATCCAGGCAAGCCAGGGGCCACGTCTGGCCCCTGAGCCTGAGGTTCCCCACCCCTGAAAAGATCAAACACCTTTATTTAAAAATCTGGGTCCTGTCTCTGATCCTAGACCCATTTTACAGTAATGTAATTCCACTGAGCTCAAGAAATCTACTTCTGATTCATGCCAGAGTGGGACCCCATGTTTTCCAAAACACAGCAGCAGTGTTTTTTCTTATTGTTGACATTTTACGGAATGTGGTGGGATTCTGATCTCAGTTACACTGGAGTAAATCAGAGGTAATGCCAGTGGAATTAGCCCTGTTAAAGTCAGTATAAGTGAGATCATGTGATTAGGCAGACAGCTCTAACTTTCACGAAATCTGCATCCCATTAATGTGTCAGTTGTTTTTCATGCAGCTGGCTGACGTACAATACTATCACATGTGCATAGGCTTTCATTTCCACTCAGGACTGGATTATAAATAGCAGCTAGACAAGGGAAATATCCAAAATTAAAGTAGCCCTTTACTCCCTAAATAGATCTTTCAGATTACGCAATGCCCAAAAGCTTCTTACTTTGCTTTTTAATGGAAATCATATTCTGGAGATTTGGAGAGTCTATGTTACATTATTAAAGAAAGATAAACAGAACTGATCCGTTGGGGGAACTCAAAGCCTTAGAACAGCCGAACCCAAGCCAGAGTACAGAGTTAGTAATGTCTGCTGTACAAAAACAGACACTTGCTTAAAAAACAGTGGAACATTTTGTTTCCTAAAACTTAGTGTTCCAGGAAAAGTGCATAAGGGGAGGGGTTGTACCAACCTGAACTACAAAGAGCACCAGAGCGAGAAAAAGCTCTTAGACAGGCAGAAATGGAGCTGTGAAAGGCCAAATGCAACATTCTAAGTGCGAGGCTTCCTTCAGGACTGGTTTGTAAAGGGGGAAAAGGAGCGCACTTAGCGGTGAGAAGAGGAAAAGAAATTGGTGAGGGTTATGAAAGGGAATATAATAGGAAGCAAGGAACGAAGAATGAAGCGAAAAATTTGGGGAAGGTGTGGGGGTGAGATCTGAGCCATGAAGAAATGAAAACTGAAAGGAGAATTAAGCCAATAAAACGTGGACTAATTGCTGTAGTAACTATGTCCAGGAAGGGGGAAAGACACAGGAGAAGAGGAGACAGAGGGAGGGGAGGGGGCAAAGGGGAACCAGACTGAGCAGGCTCCAAACGCCTCTGAGGCTCCGACCTTCTCACTGGGCCTGACACAGTCACTGGGAAGGAGAAAACGCTGACAAGGCTCCTCCTGCCCCTGCCCCTGGGTCCCAATTCTCCATGCGGCCCCTACAGAGATCTGGGAAGACGCCACACTGCTACCAAGCCATGGGAATCTCTGCGTTTGCCCTGGCCTTGTGCCTCTATCCTGATTGGCTGTTTTCAGCGTCTCTCTATGAGGTCGTCTCTCTCCCCCAATCAGCTGAAATCCTGCCACAGGCCTTTGTGATGTCACTGCCACCCCACCCTTCCCATGTAAGGCTGGTGTCCTGGCCCTGGCCAGCCCCTCTGGATGTTTGAGGGGTTCCCCTTTGCATGCTGTCAATGCTACATTCGTAATAACAGTCAATACTAAGGCTATGTCTAGACTACACTGAAGTTTCGAAAGAGGATATGCAAATTACATGGGAATTTGCATATCTTCTTCCGATTTCACTTTTGAAAACAGAGCTTTCGATAGTGAAAATAGTCGGGATGCGGTTTTTTTGGCAACTCCCTCCCCTTTTTGAAAAGCCACTCTTCCTCAAAAAATGAGGTTTTTTTTTAAAAAGGGGGGGTTGCCGAAAAAACCGTGTCCCGACTACTTTCACTTTCGAAAGCTCTGTTTTCGAAAGTGAGCTTGGAAGAAGATATGCAAATTCCCGCGGAATTTTGAAACTTCAGCGTAGTCTAGACAAGCCCTAATAGGGCATTAAGGGGGCACAAGGGGAGAGTTAGTGTTAACAGCAAAAGAAGGGAAAATAATGCATACACCTCTGTGCCTAGGAACCTGAACCCTGTGATCTCAGGCCCTGTGACAGTTTTCGTAGGGGTGTAGTCCCATAGCGATACGTCACTGAGGTCCTGGGGTCACCAAATCTGAGCAGTCCTCATGGGAAGGCTGCCCCAGAGCAGTGGTCCCTTAAAGCCCATGTTCCCCTACAACCCACCCGGCATGATTATCTGCACTACAAGTCTATATTTCACTGGAAATTTGTCAAAACTGACAGATTTCTAGAGAACATTTCAGTTTCAATAAATCTACATTTTCCGTCCAACCAAAAAAGAACCCTGTTCCATCAGAAATTTCCTGACCAACTCAACTCATGTGGCCTGTCTTCTCGATCTATTCTCTCTGAACCAGTGTCCCCTGTCAGCTGAGTGCTTGGGCAGCCACCCAAGAATGATTCAGATGCCATTGAGCTGATTAGCAGAGCTTCCACAGCCTCCCACAGCCAGCAGCATGTGTTTCTACTGGTGGTGCACATCCACACATGCGTTGATACACATGACAAAATTCATTCTGCACATTGAAGGAAAAAAATGGAGGCAACATTGCTCTTTTTGTCTTCTCTGCCCACTCACTACTTCATGTCTTCTTTCACCTGGTCCTCTTATGCTTGGAACAACCGGCCAATGAATAGTTGCAAGTGGCCCTTCTTCCCAGCTCGCCTAAAGACTCACCTGCTCTGTGAAGCTTTTCAGCTGTAAGGGCCACACCTTACTCATTTCTTCTGTGTGGTATCAACTCACATCTTCAGACTGTACATTTTTCAGGGCGGGGACCCTATTACCATGCACATTTATCCTGGTGTACAGCACTCTGTATGTCCATGAGACTGAATGGACAACAGTAGTAAAAGCAGATGAAAGGAACAGATAATAAACCTGTGAGTCAGTCCTAGAGATGGATGAGAGATAGCATAGATGACCGGCAGTTGCTGCTTGTCTCCTGGTGGAAAAGACACACTTAAAAATTGCCCCATGAGAGACCTGTTAATGCCTCTGGGGCTCACCTGGATTTCCGCTTGCAGTAGACCAGAAGGTTGTCAAACAGAAAGAATGTTCTCTCCTGGATGTTTCCTGGTGAGATTTTCAACAGAGTCCACAGTGTCCCTTGGAGCAGGAGTTGTGTGCAGATATCAGTCAGATTGGACCCCTAGAGCAGAGAGAAACAATTGTGCTTATTTTACCTTTTCTTTTCTGAGAGTTCAATGAAACATTGTTACTAATAATCTATGTGTTTGCTTATCATATCTGTCACAACTACAACTGGGCAAAAAAAAATTCATACGGGTAGGTTGTTGTCCAAAAAGTGCAACTTCAGGTTGACTAAAACTATTTATGAATTAAGAGTCAGATTTGGAAAGAAAGAAAGAAATGAAAAATCAATTACTTGCTCAGGTCTAATCTCAACTACTGACTAGTGAATTTATCAGGGTTGTGTGATTTCTTAATTTTGGATGTGACTATATGTATTGTCCTCTCCCTGGGAGTTTAAAACATGCCCTTATTGAAAACCTGTTTATTGTGATTAGATTTTCCTATTCAAATCGAAGATCTTTTCTTCATAAGAAATCCCTTTAAGTCCCATGCCTGTCGTACTGGTACCAGTGTACTCTCTCCAGAACATCAGTCTGACTCTATGCCCAGCACTGCAAATAAGTGGTAGCCTTAAGAGTGGGCGATCGAGCCTTCCTGATATTGCAGCTTTGCCACATTCTCTGTTGACCATTTTTCTGGAAGATGAATTTACCAGAGATCCATCTCCACAGTCCACATGCAAAAACTTATCACTGAGCTGTCTGAGCTAGCTGCGCAAAGATTCCCTCCATAGGCTACTGTAGCTGGTTCCAGGCCATCTTCTCTTTGTACCACTGTATGGAGTGTGGCTGGAATGCCCTTGCATGGTTGATTCCCAGCTGGTGGAACAGACCATTGAGAGGAACTCAGTATGGGCACAAATTAAGCTGTAGAAATGCTCTAAATTGCACAAGTGAGTGTGTGTGTGTGTGTGTGTGTGTGTGTGTAAATAGTTCTAGCCAGCACCATGGTTAGGCGTTATAACATCCTCTCCTTCCCCCTAAGCCTTCACCAAGGCTAGCTTGGCCATTCCCTATGATCTAGCCCTATGTTCCTAGATTTAGCATTATTTCACAGATACCAGTAGGTTGGGAAGTAGTTGATTTTTATCGGTAAGATGTTGGTAAATCTCAATTTCACCATACACCCCTACTGATAGAAAATATTACGACAAATCATTGAAAGTTGCAGAGAAGCAAAATAAGAAAAATGCTGGATGAGAATGTATTAGATTTTTATTTAAGGTTATTAATTCCGTTGTATATTCTGACATGTGATAATGGACACTTGTGTTTTAACAGCTGTAACCCTTTAACTTTTTGAATCTCACCAACATCATTAACTGACTCTCCCACTGTCTGACGGTATAATATTTCCTGTGACTGTGAAAATTAAAAATGATAAAAATAGAAGAAAATGCTTAAAAATAAACATTGACATTATCTGTCCAAACTATGAAAAAAAAACACATTGAATTCTGCTCAGCTTAGATACAGGGATTCAATTAATTCTGTATTAACAAGGATCCACTTACAACAAACACACTGAGGGCATGTCTACACTGCGGCGATAAATGGGAAGATGCTACCTCAGATGGCAGGAGAAGAAGACGCTCATTCACACAAGAGGGGGGTAGGAGTAGGGGTTTGAGTGACTAGGGTTAGCGTGGTAGGAAGGGGAGGGACATGGGCTATGCTGGATCATACCCACAAAGGGCGGGTGTGTCTACACTTGCACCCTCTTTCGAGAGGGGTGCAAATGAAGACATTTGAAATTGCAAATGAAGCCAGGATTTAAATACCCTGTTGTCAAAATAACTGGTAAACCTCATTATTGTCCCATATTATATTTAAGAAAATAAAACATGTCAGCACTGGAAATGGAAATATTGCAAACAGTTTTTGCTAAGTGTAAAAAAACAAATGCATGGAGTCACAGATGTGTAACACATGCATGCACATGCACATTGATCTGCATACACTGCAGCCTTTGACTAGAAACTGCTTCCTTTCCTAAGCTCAAGCTTGAAAGATGCAACACCATTGAACAGTGCTGGTTTGGAAACCAGTGAATCCAAGCGTAGCTCACCTCTCTAGAACAACCAGGACTATTTTGTGTCTAAACTCTTGTCAGTGATATCTCTCAAAGGGTGCATCTACACTGCACCGTTATTTCGAGATAACTAGCGTTACTTCGAAATAACAATGCGAGCATCTACACAGCCATTCTGTTATTTTGAAATAATTTTGAAATAACGGACGGCTTATTCCGAAAACTGTAAACCTCATTCTACATGGAATAACACCTATTTCAAAATAGCTATTTCTAAATAAGGCATGTGTAGATGCTCCACCGCTGCTATTTTGAAATAGCCCCTCACCAGGGCCATACTAAGTTATTCCTCCCTAGTGCCACCTGGAGTTCTAAATTGAAATAGCACGTCTACATTAGGGAAGCCTGCCTCGGACTAATTTTGAGGTTCCCTGCATTGTAGACATGCTATTTCAAAATAAGCTATTTTGGAATAACTATTCTAGAATAGCTTATTTTGAAATAAGCATGCAGTGTAGATGTACCCAAATAGCTTCATAGCATCACATTTCTGACTCGCTATGTCTACACTACCAGGTTCCTCTCAGAAACAGGAGTTAATTTGAAATAAGCACATTATTTTGAAATATCTGGCTTGGTAGTGTGGACGCTCGCCTTGTTATTTCGAAATAAGGCAAGTTATTTTGAAACAACTCCTCAGTGTAGACATGTCCGGGAAGACCTCAGGACACCCTATAAAGAACATCATGGGGGAACTTTACTCCTGTATACCATTTCACTCCCATTTAAACCTTTCTGGAATGTTCCGTGTGCACAGGTGTAAATTTAATCTCTTGTGCCCAGAGGTATCTGCAGTCTCAGTTGGTCTAAATGTGTTTCACAACATTGTTGCAGGGGGTTGTAAAAATGGTGTTAATAAATTCTTTGCAAATTAAGCAGTTTGGATTATAAAACATATATCAGCTAAAGACAGTTCTCTTTTCCAGTAACACTCAAATCACAGTAGGTCAAATTATATAATATACTTCCTATTCTGCCCTGCTGACCAGACTAAAGAAGTCACAGCCACACAAAGAAGTATTCTTCCTCCTAACTACATTACACATGCAAAAAGTGTTAACATTCATTTCTATAACACTGATTGGCTAAGTGCTATCAATGCCTCAGGCTCTGTTTGCACTGCCAGGTTATTTCGAAGTACGTTATTTCAAAATAATAACTCCTGAAATAACTATTTCAAAATAAGCTTATTCCTCTTCACAAGCAGGAATTATTATTTTGAAATAACTCCCTAGTGTAGACATGCCGGGTATGTCTACACTTGCACCCTCTTTTGAGAGAGGGATGCAAATGAAGACATTCGAAATTGCAAAGAATCCGGGATTTAAATATCCCGAGCTTCATTGGCATATTCGTGTTATGACGCTGTTTCGAAATAGTGCTATTTCAAAATAACAGATGCTGTTAAGACGTGGTTATTTAAGAAAAAACCCTTCGCTCAAAATAACTGGTAAACCTCATTGTAGCGGAACAGGGTATTAAAAATGTCTTTATTTGAAGATGAACTGTTGACAAAGCAAAGTGGCCAGAGATTGCTGAATTCCAGAATAATGACACCTCCCTCTCCCTAATTTCTACATACAGTTGTGCAAATACAGATTGCACCTCCCTAAACCACTTGTCCAACAACAGCTGTGGTCTGGCAGGATCTTCCCCAGCATTAACACCTCTCTTCTGACTCCTGCTGTTCTTTTCAGATGGTAATTTTGCTTTTCTGCACATATCACATTGGGGAACCCAGGAAATCAGCATGTAGTGATTGCACAGAGAAAACAGTTTACACAGGGTATCCCTAACTGATCCTATAGAATATCTTCCATTGTTGTTTGGAGTGTTGTTGCTGCCAATATTGGTGCCAGGATATTAGACAAGGTGGGCCCAATAAAAAATATTGTCTCACTCATCTTTTTTCTCCCTAACAGAATTGTCAGTATAAAGTACAGTGAAATGGTCAGTGTATGAACTGGTTCTGTGGTAAACAAAAAGCCCCATGTAAAGGATGCTCTTTGTAAAGCACTCTCTTTCCACCTATCCTTCACCTCCACTCCCCCCTCTTTGAAAAACAGATCCACAGAATTGTGAAAGGAATTCCCCATGAATCAAGTGGAGAAAACAGCCTGTTTGATGCATAAATTATACTTCTCAGGATTTGGCAAAGTTCCCACAGAGAAATGAATGTGAGCATAGTTCACTCTGATGAACAGACCCTGTCCTCAAAAAGCAGGTGTTTCCCTGTTCCTGATATAGAACAGTGCATCCCAGCATTGCATTATGTGTCAAAAATTAACTGAAACAGCCTTAGGCCAGGACTCTGTCCTGGGCACGGGACTGAGTGGAGCTGTGATGGAAAGGTGGAAACATAGAACACATGGTGTAATGTGGCAAATATAGGCATAAGTGAGAAAATCACTTTAAAAAATAAAAATAGTATTCAGTGCTAACGTGGATTGAAGTTACGGGAGGGTTACAGTGTGGCTACAGCAAAGGACGGTGTGATGGTAGCGCAGGCAAACAGCCTTAGAAGGAAGAGAACACGGGAGCGGCTAAATGTCATGCTGTTTACAGGCTGGAAATGAGGATAGCAGCGCAGACTGGTAGTGGAATAAGACTGGAGGTCTCCCTTGGACATCTGGCAGGGAGGGCAATAAACCTGCTCTGGTTTATTAGAAACAACAGAAAAAGCGGAGCTGCTCCCAAATTAGAGGTGCAGATTTCAGTGGAACTGAACAAATTTAAACCGAGCTGCTCTCAGATTCTCCAGACAGCTATGCAGCTTCCTGGGTAAAGATAAAAAGCCTACATATTATATCACGGTGATATCTGCTGGCTTTTTGACAATGTATGTGCTGCAGATTAAGCCTGTTGGAAGCAGGAAGCTTTGTTGATTGAGAATGAGTGGTGCGGGAAGCTTATCTACAGATGCTAACATTTCGGGCACCCCATTGACACAATCGCAAAGGGAAGAATTTGTATTTCAAAGACAAAACTGTGTTCAAAAGGTTAAGGAAAACGAGGAGAAAATCTGTCGGGGCAGACATTGTTCTGACCTGCAAATGGCATCAGGTTCCCTCTCACTGCTAGGGATGGCCACCTTGTGAAAGCCACACAGATATCCAGCTGTGTGGTGTTTGGCTTGCAAGCACAGCAAAGGCAGATAAAGTTCACTACAGGAAGATGCCCAGAAGTAGTTACAACCAGTTGGATGTGAGTTGAGGATCAGTTAGGCAAGGGGCACATCTCGAAACTCTGAAGCCTCAAGGGTGACTTTGAGAGTGTCCATGGTGTCAGTCACAAAAAATACCCAAACCACTCATGTTTTCTTAGGGCTAAAATAATCTACAGTAACACTGTGGGGACAAGCACTGTTTGAGGTCTGTTTATCTGCACCGTGTTACAAGAATGTCACTCAGAAATGTATTCGTAGCCCACTGCTAGTGAATAACACTTCTGAACTTTCAAACTGATGGGCTGTGGCTCCTACTGGTGGTTTGAAGGTTGCGGTTCCTTCACGTATTGTAGAAAGAGATCCAAATTGACATTTCTTCTGATGTACATTGAACAAGTGGGAAACTGGTTTGTAATTCTTCACCCTGGGCTTCCACACTGCTAGGTGTCAAGTATCAGAGGGGTAGCCATGTTAGTCTGGATCTGCAAAAGCGACAAGGAGTCCTGTAGCACCTTATAGACTAACAGATGAATTGGAACATAAGCTTTCGTGGGCAAAGACCCATTTTGACATGGATCTGATGAAGTGGGTTTTTGCCCATGAAAGCTTATGCTCCAATTCACCTGTTAGTCTATAAGGTGCTACAGGACTCCTTGTCGCTTTTGCAGATCCAGACTAACATGGCTACCCCTCTGATACTTGACACCTAGCAGTGTGGAAGCCCAGGGTGAAGAATTACAAACCAGTTTCCCACTTGTTCAATGTACATCAGAAGAAATGTCAATTTGGATCTCTTTCTACAATACGTGAAGGAACCGCAACCTTCAAACCACCAGTAGGAGCCACAGCCCATCAGTTTGAAAGTTCAGAAGTGTTATTCACTAGCAGTGGGCTACGAATACATTTCTGAGTGACATTCTTGTAACACGGTGCAGATAAACAGACCTCAAACAGTGCTTGTCCCCACAGTGTTACTGTAGATTATTTTAGCCCTAAGAAAACATGAGTGGTTTGGGTATTTTTTGTGACTGACACCATGGACACTCTCAAAGTCACCCTTGAGGCTTCAGAGTTTCGAGATGTGCCCCTTGCCTAACTGATCCTCAACTCACATCCAACTGGTTGTAACTACTTCTGGGCATCTTCCTGTAGTGAACTTTATCTGCCTTTGCTGTGCTTGCAAGCCAAACACCACACAGCTGGATATCTGTGTGGCTTTCATGTCATCAGCTGGATGCCAAAGAACATCCTTCAGGGAAAAAATGAGCAAAGTTTAAAACAAACAAACAAAAAAAAGCAGTCCTGGAGCACACCCAGAAGTCCGAACATGAGGAAGTTTACTTGACCTCTGGAAAGAAGTCACCAGTGAAGGAATCCTCAGCAGGCAGCACTCGGCCTGGATATTTTAAATGTCAGGCACACTCCCAACGCCAATTTCTCCATGAAGCCATTTAACACCACTAACTCCCTACGGTGAACTAAAAATGAACTCTGCCTCTCCCTCCAGCTTCCAGCACTGCTAATCCCATGGCCTTAGCTAAAGACATCAAATTACAAAATTGACAAACTTTTTTTGTTGTTTTTGCATTAAATCCACTGCCAGAATCTACCACTGGATGGCTCCTTTCCAGGCCGCTTTTTCCCTCAAACTTCTCCTTCTCTCTGTCACTTTCTCTGTGTTCTCTTCCCCAGCATCAGCTAATAAATACTCCAATAGAATCCCTTCCATGACTTACCTAACAGCAGCAAATACAGACACAGCAGCCTTAGTTCATTGTCATTTTGGGGGGAGAGAGGAGAGGTGACAGACAAGGTTCATTAAGACAGGTGGGTTAACTTTGACAGGTCCTGGATGAAGTCATGACTTGTAGGAAGAGGGATTTAGAACACCTTTGATTTCATCCTCTATATTTCTGTGTTGCTCAAAATTAGATCTCCTGATTTCACATTTGAAATTCCTTTCAAATCTAACAAATTTCTTTCTTTCATGCTACCACTTAGGCATAGCTCACACTCCTAACAAAACCAGTGAATTCTAAACCCACACCTTTAAGTGCTGCCACCTACACCTTTCAGTGCATTTATATCCCACATAAGACCTACAGAGATCCCTGTATACCATGTGAGTCATTACATCCCAGCCCTTTGGGTTACGCAGAATAGTTAACTCCCTACAGGGGAGTTAGCAGTCCCACTGATCTGCCACCATACCTCCCATCCTTCAATGTGGGACTGCAACTGTTCAAGGGCTTCCAGCTTCTCCATCTGCCTCTTGGTTTCATTGATATTGGTGCAGACGGTCTTCATTGCCTGCAATGCGTTCTGGACCGCTTGGTGATCGGGATGCTTAGAGGGAGTCCTCTTAGCTAGCTCCTAAAAAAGGAAAATTGTAAACATGTGAAAGGCACAGTCACTAGAATGGGATTTGAGTGCAATTGCATAAGAAAAGCACTCCAGAGTTGGTTGAATTGAAGAAAGATGTAGGTTTGTTGTTGTAGATCAGGGCTACTCAACACACGGCCTGTGGGACACACGTGGCCTGCAGCCTATTTGTTTGCAGCCCATGGTGTGGTTTGGGTTTACACAGGGCTCAGCTCATGGTGGGATCCTTTGAACATGGCCTTCACTGGAAACACGCTCCACAACAACAAGGTATCTCCCAGGCGGGGAGCACTGAAAGATGCAAGTGGATGGGCTGGCTGGAACAGACGGGTATAGGGTGTCAGCATTTCTAGCCCTCAGGGAGGAAGTGCCAGGAGCATCAAGGCATTGTGTGAAAGAAGCTATTTGCATATCTTTGAATATATATTTGCATGAATATGCAATCTCACTTAAGTTGTGACCCTTGGCATGTGCTATGAGTATCATGGTGGCTCCTGGGGCTTCCAAAGTTGAGTAGCCCTGTTGTAGATGCTGGTCTCTGATAGGGGTGCTATCATGTAGCTATGTTGTTCAGTGAGTGCAGGCACTGCATGCTGACAAATATATCAAAAGAGGAAAAACGTGCAATGCATGTTGTGTTGAGTCAAGTGTGTTTGGTGATAACAAGAACCACACTTAATTGCATTAAATAATTATATAGAAAAACAGACCATTTCCTGCTGCACATGTGCAAACAGACATGTTCTGAATGATAGCCCTTTTTATGGGCTTGACACTGTTCCCTTGGAAATCAGTCATGCACCTTCCATTACATCAGTGGTATAAGAGCAGGACCGATAGTCCAGATTTTCCAAACAGCTCAGCCCTCAGTAGCCAATGGAAATGGCATTCTTTTGAAAATCTAACCCTGCACGTGTGGTTGATAGATTAGGTATCCCCATGCGCAATACTACAAATAGCAATGATAGTAATACTTTATGTATTCTGGGCTAAAAGACATTGTTTAAGGACACAGCATTAATTAATTTATCCTACCAACATTTCTGGGTGGTAGAAAAAGTATTATGTTCATTATACCATAGGGGAATTCAAGGCACAGGAAGATTAAGTGACTTGACCAATGGTCACAGAACCAGCAAGTGGTACTGCTATCACCTTCAGGCTATGTCTACACAGCTTCCCTCTTCTGCAAAAGCCTATGCAAATGAAACATGGATTAGCATATGCCTGCGCTTCATCTGCATAATTAATTAGGAACAGTTTTTGCGCAAGAGGTTTTTGTGAAAAAAGGTGCCATCTGCACAGTGCCTTTTTGCGCAAAAACCTCTTGTGCAAAAACAGCTCCTAATTAATTATGCAAATGAACCTCGGCAATATGGTAATCTGTGCTTCATTTGCATAGGCTTTTGCGGAAGAGGGAAGCTGTGTAGACATAGCCTTAGTTAATTTCTTATGAGTCAAAGGCCTTAGTGGTCACCAAACCAACACACAGTGATCACAGATAGATCCCAGAAAGGGAAGGCCTACCAAACAATCTAGGCTGGGAACAAGAAAGGACCAAGATAACTGCAAGAGCTCAGCAATTCTTCCCTGGATGAAGTGTAGTCGAAGGGCATGTGTTGTCTGGACTGATTAACGTAAATATGAACACTCTGTCACCTGTGAAGAATTGCTAGGCGTCTCCAACTCTCCCGGTTCAGATCAGAGTAGCCCAACTAGCCACAGCTTGCTGGGGCACAGCCGTGGGAATAGTTTGGAACCTGACAATAATCACCCATGATGAAGGTTTGGCAAATAGCGTAACCACTGTCGACTCATAATTCATCATTTTTCAGTCCAATATTATTTTATTGCTAACCTCAACTGGATAAAAGAGCCATTAAAAAAACCTTAAGTGAGATTTGCTGTTTCCTCTTGATACATAATACGGTGTTTAAGATCCACATTTTTAGCCCAGCTGGAATATTTCACTTTCTCTCAATATTCTTTCCCTTTTGATCATGGTTGTTCTTAAGTTTTGTGGTGGAATGGCAAACTGCTGCTGAGCTGTCTCATTGTACATGTCCAGAGTGCTGGCAAAGCAAAGCAGGCTGCAAACAGTGCTCACAACCATCCCTTCAGAGCTACCCCACCCAGGTTGATGGCCTTCCATTTAGGATAGACCACTGGTTTCAATTCCCTGCTTCCACCTAGGATAGACCACTGGTTTCAGTACCCTGCTCCACTACACACTTCTTGTATGATCTAGGGCAGTGAGGGGCAACCTGCAGACCGAGGGCCACATGCAGCCCACTGGGGGTTTTACATGTGGCCCGCTAGCCATTTTGTTTATCGTTGCTCATGTGCAAGGTTGCCAGATTACACTGGTTTCCATTTGCATTGTTTTTTCCCCACCACTGTTACTAAACTGACAGCAAGGGCACATAAGGTGAGGGGTGTGCTGACTGCACACAGCACTGACAGGGAGAGCCGTGCGTTCCATTTGTGCTGCTACGGTTCAATTGGCACATCCTATAAGTTCTAGGTATGCCAGTGCAATTAGCAAAACTCCCCTATCCTGGGAGACCATCTTGGTTATGACCGTCCTGCAGCCTGATGAGAGGAAGGAGGGTCACTCATGCAGCTCACTCACTAGCCTGGGCTGCCCATCACTGATCTAAGGCACATCACACAAGGTATGTCTACACTGAAAAAAACACAGCAGTGAGTCTCAGAGCTCGGGTCACCTGACTCAGGCTCACGGAGCTCATGCTGCTGGGTTAAAAACAATAGAGTAGACGTTCCCGCCAGACTCTGGAACCTGGTGAGGCGGCTGGTTCTCAGAGCCTCAGCGCCAGTCCAAGCAGCAGCATCTGCACTGCTGTGGTTTGGCACTGTGACACGGGCCCTGTGAGGGCCAGTTGATTTGTTGGTTGGTTTCTTGACTTACTTTTAGTCTTTTTGGAGCCTAAGTTCCCCATCTGTAAAATGGAAATAACAGCACTCTCTCCTCCACAGGGCTGTGGTGAGGGAAAAAGGCATTAAAGAGTTTGAGGTAGGACGGACTCTTAAACTTCATTGCACTGCAACTCCTCTCTGACTACAAAAATTACTATTTGACTCCAAAAGGGGGAACTGAAGCCTGAGCTTGTCTGAGCCCCACTGCCCCAGTAAGGAGGACAGGGGCTATGCCAAAGCCCAAGGACTTTGACCCCAGGCAGGGGGCCTGTAACCTGAGCCCTGCTGCCCAAGGCTAAAGCCCCTGGCTTCGGTCACTTGGGCTTTGCCTTTAGCCCTGGGCCCCAACAAGTCTAAGCCAGCCCTGGCAACACCATTAAAATGGGGTCACAACCCACGCTGGAGTTTCAGAATCACTGAGATATAGAGATACCATGGTAAGTGAGGGCTTGATAAGTTCTAAGACTGAATATGGATGTTCAGGAGTCAGCATTTGGAGATGTTGAAAAGATTTGGACCACTGCGTATGAAAGAAAAGAATTAAAGAAGGGGACAAAGTCCAGAATTAAAAAAGGATTTTCAAAAGATGTTCAGGATTTAATAACAATATTATAAATCTGGGTTCCATTTCTGTCTTTGCCCCAGAATTCCCCTTGTGACCATGGGGTAAATTACTTAATCAATGTTGTAAAATGAAGATAACAGAATCTATCTCACATGGGTTGTTGAGAGGCTTACCGTAATTCATTTGTTCCTGCGACACTGTTTAGGATCTAATCTCGTAGGGTGAAAAGTACTGTCATTGCTTATCTAGTAAGTAATCAGTTTTGTGTTAATCTTTTAAAATGAAATTTACATCTTGAGGCTAACCTACTGTTCTCATGAGAATCATGATGCTTGGGTACTGCACTTTCTGGGCTCTCTCTCACTCTCACATGTTGGGTGCTATCAACAGATGAACGAGACTGATCACTTTCGTAGAGCAGAAGGTAAATATACCGGGCCGTATAGATTTGTAATAATAATTAACCATCAAATTCAAAACAGAATAAACTCAGAAATGTCATTCCCTGGGATTTTTTTCAAGTTTATAAAACTCATTACTGCCCTTTGGCCATGGCCTCTTTTTGCATCATGTATGGGACAAGCTATTTTAGGAACTTACACACAGCTACGAATTTTCCTTCCTGAAAATTGTAAGTGTGAATGATAATGGCAATTGCTAGGTGGGAGATGGAGCAGAAGTGTACTGTACTGACAACCAGGAGTCCCATTAGGGGAGCAGAGTTAATTATCCTGAGCTCTAGGGTGATTGACTGACTGGATAACATAGGCAACAGGGAAAGGAGTCGGCTGTCCAGCTTGCACCATCCCTATAACTGTCAATCAAAAATCACAGGAGGAGATCCCATGGGAGGGCTCTGTTACTCCCTGTGGGCTCCAGGTAAGGCAGGAGATGAGTGTCCCCAAAAAAAAGAGTGGATGATACAGCACGCACTACAGTCATCTGTCTCAGCCTCACCTATTCAAAGTGGTGCAGGCCGTTTTTGCTGCATGACTCTCATTAAAATCAATACAAAGTGTTCTGCAGCTTAAAGCAGTAATGCAGTCTATATAGCTAGTCTTTCCAAAATACCACCACGGGAGGGGGGGTGTCAAATTCAGCCCCTGGCTTACCTGGATCTGGCCCCCAAGGCTCAGGGCTCCTCCCCAGCATTGGGTACTCCACACTATCATTGCCCAGCATCGCCTCCCATCAGGACCTTCCACCCACAGCCTGCTTTGCACCTTTCCTCCTGCCTATATCCCACATCCCAAGCCCGCTTCCTGGCAGCCCCCTCCCACACACCAAACCCCTCATTTTTGGTCCCAGCCCAGAGCCTAGGAGGGCCCACAAAAACTACTAGCCTGGACCCCCCAAAGGGGGTGGAGGGGGATGTGGAGGAGTGTCTTTCTTCTTCTCAGTCAGAGGCCACAGACGGCATATGAGTAAAACAAAATGGCTTGCCACAAACTGGCAGAAAGACAACTCCCATTCAAGCCTACACAGAACT